GATAGAAAAAGAGACCATAGTTTGGAAGTAGATTTTTAAGTTGCCTAATTCACCTCCCCTCTTAGGCATCACGGTCCCCTACAAATCCAACTTAAACTCAAATGATCTTGACAAAACAAATCTCCAGTGTGACGTTAGAATAGGTGTCACTCTACTAAACATCCCGTCTCTAGAGAATAGTTAGTTTCCTTAACATCGTTGCCACATCTTGAGTCATTTGACCATGCCACTTGACCAATCCCAAACCACTCGAAACAAAAAATTTTCTCTAAGGCCATTAAGGCTACGATTGGTTTGAACACAAGAGAGGATAGGACGGGTCCTTATATCTATGTTTAGTTGAACGGACTCGTATGGAAGATGGAAAACTGATATGGAACACTCTAGATCAAAAGCATCTTGGGTCGAACTTGTTTTATGTTTAGTACAAGGGATTGTGAGGTTGAGGACACATGCACTGTTTTAGATCCGTTAGTTGTCATCGATGTGGACCCCCACATGTTAGCAACCATTTTAACTTCTTCCTCTTCCACACCCCATTCGTTATTGCCCTTGCTTTGCTGCTGCCTCCCTCCCTCTCCTATACCGTTGTAGGCTAAGGGTCAGGGCCAGGGCAGAGCTCACGTGCTTAGGGCTTGTCGTCTCATTCCCCTCCTCTATCGCGGGCGCGCGAAGGCCGAGCTCATCGCCTCTCATATCTCCTCCACCACGGGCAACCTGAGGCTGAGCTTGGTGCCTCTTTTCCTTTGTCGCAGGACGGGAGTCGGGACCAAGCTTGGCACCTTCCTCTCTCTCTCCTTCACCACCGCAAAGTTGTGGATAGGGCCAAGTTTGCTACTTTCCTTATATCTTCTCGAACCAAATCCTACCTAAAATAAATCATTGTTTAAAGTTAATTAGCTTTCCAACAAAACAATTGGATTTATGTTTGACTATAGATACCTCCTAACTTCGTTATTGGTGCTCGCTATGCGTACATTTTATTAACCACTACATTTATTGCCCCACACATTGTTTGACATCTAATTTGAACCCACATATGTATGTATTGATTTCACAAAGAGGTAACACACCCAATGACATGGAGGCTGCACGACATTGAAAGGCAACACACCCACGGTATGGAGGCAATGCAACATTGAAGAAAGGTGCCACCCTTTATTCGATAGCGATGGAAGATGTGTTCTTTGTGTGCACACATCCTTTCGTTTTTTGGGATCTGTATATCCTACAGTACAACTTCACATTAAAAATGTTTTTACGGAGGTAAACCCTGCTTATTAAGAAAGCAAGTGATGTTTACAAACGTTCATGCCGGGACACTAGCTTACAATGTAACAAAAAAACATAGGAAGAACAAAAGATTAAATGCAATGACTACAAAACCGCTAGAGCGAAGAACCTAACATCATCGATGATCTTCCGCTCCCGTATTTGAAAAAACTAAAGGTCTTCCTTCCACCGGCGCCAACACATGTTATCAGATGAGTTAAACTAAAGCATAACCTTTTCCACCATTTGAAACACAACAAAGCACCCCAAAAGACCCTGTCTGTCCCTTCTCTGATTGTCAAATGAGGCCTTCTAACTCCCATAGCTTTGGATTGCTTCCAGAGTTCCTGCAACCAGTTCTTCACGATCTTGATCTTGTCGTCCAAAAACATGGCATCTTCCCTTTTCAGTAACATTCTCTATTTTTGTAATAAAAAGGTAAAAATTTTGTAGAAAGCTTCATTAGAACTCCCTGGAAGAACCTTTTCAATACTCATTTTATTTCTGATTATCCATAGACACCATAGTACGACAGACAACATATATAAGTTGATTTGGTAATTGTGAGACCTTAAAGGAAGCCAATCATAAAAAAAACCATGTAAGCTGTTAGGAATCCTATCCCAGCCTAGTGCTTCTTTGAAACTGGTCCAGACCGTCCTGGCCATAATACAATTGAAGAAGATGTGATCTATGGTTTCCTCCCTCCTACGTGGACATCAGTTTTTGGACTCTTTCTATTTTTTCTTCATAAGGTTCACACCAGTTTGCAATTTGTTTTGAATGGCCATCCACATAAAGATTTTGACTTTCAAAGGAGCCTTATTTTTCCACAAACGTTGCATTCTTTTGTTGGAAAATGCCCCTAAAAGAAAAGTTGTCTATACATGAATCTAGTTGAGAAGTTACCAGATTTTTCAAACACCTGTTTGTAAGTATCCTCTAAACCATTAGATTGTACAGAAATATCATCTAGAATAGTCAGTGGCGGATGCAACATGGGAACAAATGGTGGCTAAATAATAAAGATTTAGAGTTAGAGCTAGAGATTAATGATGATTTGAGGCTAAGTAACCATGGTCAAATGAAAAAATCAAGCTCACTAGAGGGCTATAGCCCCTACAACCCTCCTCTGGATCCATCCCTGAGAATAGTCATCAGTCTTTCCCATTCCTAATATTCTCACCCCTCCAATTTAAAATGTTCTTTTGGCCTAGATTTTGTTCACTGAACCACTTTCCATGGGAGGGATTCTTTCAACACCAAGTACTTAGGTACGTACGTGCTATAAGGCCTGTGACTTTGTAAATGCATTGCCTCGGATGCGTCTTTCATCTTAGGTGGTGTTTGATTCAGTGATTAAAATTTAGGAGGTGTGTCGGGAGGATGTTGTATGGGGTGTATGGATATTAATAAAAAAATAAATTACATAATCTGCCAGTATTTCACGAGATGAATTTTTAAGCATAATTAACCCGTCATTAGCACATGTTTACTGTAGCAACACATTGTCAAATCATGGACTAATTAGGTTTAAAAGATTCGTCTTGTAAATTAGTCACAAACTATATAATTAATTTCGTAATTAATCTATATTTAATACTCCATGCATGTGTCCACATTCGATGAACGACGACTAAAATTTAGGAGCGGAACACCAACTTAACCGGGTATACTGTAGCCCACCTGCTTAGATAGCAGTAGTACAGTAGATACGTACATTGGTATGCTCCGCTGCAATTCGCGAGGCATTTCAGATTATTTTTCTCTTCCAGTTGCACCGTTGCATGCACGCGATGGTCACTGTGTGCAATGTCGCTGCGCAACCTGTCTACAACAGCCGAACAACAGCGGGCGTCAAGAAATTTTCTGTCACTGGCCTGCAGTTGACAACCTTCAGTCTGGTCGTTTGGCTGTGGCTTGTCGTAAACGATCATAAATTTTCAATCAAAATAGTATTTTTCTCTCACACAAATTAACTAGCAGTATTTTTTCACGAACCAGCAATGAAACGAACCCGCCAACCGAACACGATGCTTAATGCGACCGCGGGCGGCCAGATAATAAGCTGAGCGTGTTAAACAGTGAATGGCTACGCTCTTCCTCGTTACAGAGCAGAAGAGACGTACGGTGTCACACAAGGCGTTGAATGCTGCCTGCAGGCACCGAATCCATCTAGCTTTGCTGGTGTCAGATTATCTCCGACAATGATCACCTAAAATTTCATGTTTATGTAGTGTTATAGTCAAAGATTAAATACATATTTTCTGTCTTCTCAACAACAAGATCCAAAAGAAAATTGATCTCTACGAGAGATGATACTTAAATTTAGGTTGTGCATCTCCTGACACCCAAATTAGCTCCTAAATTACTCTGTTGGAGGCCGATACAGTACTATCGGAGACTCATTTTGGGTTTAGATGCTCTTAGACCAGTTTCAGTGGTAGTTTCATGTGAGTTTCATTTGCATTAAATAGATTGCTACATACTGTAGGCATTTTTATGACATGACAACATATTTAAGAAGAGAGACCCGACATTTTTATGACATGATTACAAGTTATAAAATTAAATGTTAATAAAACCCTAGAATGAACTCTCTGTTAAGAATATGTGTTTTATTCAAATTTTATTTCATTCGTAAGACCTGCCTTATGGGTCACCTTTGGAGACACTCTGGGTGCATCTGTCCCTTCGTGCGCTCTGCTGCTGCAAAATCGTCCTGCAAAACCATCGTCGATATCGAGAGTGGACGGCAATGGGCAATGGCATAACAGATCAACCCACAAGAACTCCAAGCTCGATTAGATACGACATTCAGTTCAAATTATTTCGTGCAACTAAAATCATCTCGTTGTACAACTGGACGCTTATGTTTGTAATCAAATTTTAATTCTCAGCTTGTTCGCTAGTTGGTTTCTGGACTGATAAGTTCGGCTGATGCTGGTTTGTTGTGAAAAAAAAAAAACCTGATCATGACTAATAAGTCCTGGCTGAAATCAATACACGAACAAACTGTCTAAGTATACCCTGCATTCACGAGGATCATATAAGCAGAACCATTAATTCTGCCAAAGAAAGAACCCTAACTGACAATGTCATGGTCTTATCATTACAGGCATGTTACGCCGAGAGGCGCAGACGCGACTGATCGCGTGACCGGAGACGGACACGCACCCGTCCACGGCCCCACCGCTCAGCGCCGCGGTGAGCCGCACGTGGTCCCACCTGTCACGGTCACGCGTCGTTACAACCTGTCGGTGCGCGGAGCGGAGAAGGGGCTCTCCCCCCTACTTCCCACCCGAAAACGAAACCACAGGCCACAGCTCGCTGGGGCACTCCCTAATTAAGGGCCCACTGATGCCACCTCTGCTCTGCCAAACCTTCACATCAAACGCTCACCTACACGTGGGACCCAACTACGAGGGCCCCAGACGTCATGTGGTTCTGAGTCGTTTACGAGGAGTGGCTGATCTCCGCCGCAGGAGGTGTCAGTGCGGTCAGCAGCTTTAATACGAACAGCCTCACTCCCGATGGAGAAGAAAACGAAACAGAACGGCCAGTGGAAGCCGCCGTGCCGAGGCGGACGGACACGGCCGGAGGATACCCACCCGCACCTCCGCCTCGGAGGAATGCCGCGACGAGTAGCGCGGCCGCCGCTGTAACGGTTGCTAGCTAGCCGCTCGGCACGGAGGGAGCGCGGGAGGGAGCTAGCGTGGAGGAGGCTAATGGGGGTGTGGAGGGAGGGCGCGGGGTGGTGCTTCTGCTCCGGCGGAGGCGGCGACGACGGGGGTAGGTTGGAGCGGGTCAAGGCGGCGATCTTCTCCGGCAGGGCCTCCGCGCTGGCGGCGGTCCGTGCGCAGGGGCATCACGGCAGCGGGCTCCTGATCCACCGGAACCTGCTGCTCACCACGCACGGCAACCTGCCCTCCGCGGCCGCCGCGGAGGACGCCGACGCGCTGCTCGGGCACGGCCGCCTCGTCGCGCGGCTCGAACCGCACAGGTAATATAACAACACCAATGCTCGTTCCTGCTCCCGTCCGGATCACCGCGCTCTTTTTTCCCCTGTTCCTGCTTGCGCGTTCGTGGGAGCGTGGGGGACTCTGGGTCTCTGGCTATGGGGTTTTTACAGTGATCGCAGTGTGATTAGCCTGAGATCTGCCTGCGGCCGAGCAGGCATGACCGGTCGCTGTCGAGCGGGGCCCCACGCGATGGCATTCCGCATTCGTCGGATTTGTCGGTGGTGGTGGGCGAGCTGTTGCTGGGGCTCATGATGTGCCGTAATGTCGCTGATTATGAAAGGGAATGGCTTCTCAATTGTGGGGTTTCTGTTGGGTAGTTAGCAGTAGCAATAGTTGATGCAATGATGGTGGCATGAGTTACAATACAACCCAAGCAGGCGCTCACAAGCTGGGCACTGTAAATGGTGCCTTTTGGTTGTGGGAATCGGCGTTGGTAGTTTGGAGAAGGTTGCGTACATCTTTCTTGTTTTTTTCCTGAATGCAGTACTGGCCTAAAGTTTTTTTCCCCCCTTGCAAAGGCTTTTATGAGTTATGACACCCACAGGCAATAAAGTGGTTCATGATTCATGATGAAAAAAGTAGTAGCAATCCTGGGTAAAAGTTCAAAGTGCCCTGATTTTCCCATTTTATGTCATCTCAGATGAACTTTGCTGCTCAGTCAGAAAATTATCTGAAAAGTAGTAGCACATTATGATTGCTATTTATATTATACTATTATTGTTTTTGTTTTTTACTTCGATGAATTCTTCAGCCTTCTTGATATTTGTTGATTCTGAGTCCAGTGTTACGGTCTCTCTGAAATGATTGTTTTATGTGCAGATTTTTCATCACCAGCTCGATTCTTGATCTTACAATAGTTGGTCTTGATTATACAGAGGGTGACTCGACCCAACAGGGTCAGCAACCTCACTATTTGAAAACAAGCTGCAAACCAAGCCTAGATCATGGAAGTGCTGTGTACCTGCTCGGACATACAGGGAAAAAAGAACTGGTGATTGGTGAGGGGAAGGTAGTTATTGGCACAGACAACCTCATAAAATTCTCAGCCGATGGGGTAACATGGTGCCCTGGGTCTGCTGGTTTTGATGCCCAAGGGAACCTAGCTTTCATGATCTGTGATCCAATGAAGCTGGCCTCTTCTCCCACTGCAAGATCGTCCTCTGCATCCTCATCCTCATCACATTCATGGAAGAAGGATCACCCAATGCAATTTGGGATTCCCATATCTGTAATTTGCGATTGGTTGTATCAGCACTGGCAGGGCAGCTTGGACGAGGTTAGCAAGCCAAAGTTACCCCTTGTTCGGCTGATGTCCAGCAGGAGTGATCACTCAAGCACCTCGTTCACTCGTCGTCATGTGTTCAAGCCTGACGATGATAATGATGATGCATCCGTTTGTTCAAAGCCTAAACATCAGCAGGCATCAGGAAGCACAGCCACTGCAAGGATTTCACATGAAGCAAATCCTATAGTTGATCTGCGCACAAGCAGTGAGCAGGGTATTGCGACTCCAGAAATATATGAATCACCAAGGCGAAGTTCTTGTCAGGATCAGAAGAACGCTGCTGCACCAATTCAACTCTTGGACATCAACTTCCCACCCAGGGTTCCAAAGACTATCTATCTACCACTGCCTCTGAAGCAAATGCTTTCTGATGAGAACAATGTTGAAACGTCCAAGCCAAAAAATAGGTCGAAAGACAATGGCTTCCCATCAGGGCTGATATGGCACCGTAATAGCGAGGCTGAGTGTAGGGACCCTCCAGTAGCTCTTCGGCATATGGATTGTAGCAGCGAGGGACAGTCGAGCTCGTCACCTGCTGAGATACTGGAGTATGGAGGTCAAGACCAGTACAGCAGCGAGGAGGAAACAATGTACTCAGCTGAAACAATGGAAAGCAGGAACATTCCAAGCCCCAGGGAGAAACATGTGGGGAGGAGCCAGAGTTGTGTCACCTACAGCAGGTGGATCTCTCCAAGGACCTCATCAATGCAGAATGAGAATGGAACCTTGCGAAAGCAGCATACACTGATCCCTGTGCGGAAGACACACTCGCAGAACACGGCTCTGCCGCAGAGGAGTCATGACTACTTAAGCCCAACAGTCTCCTCAGCCATGAAGAAGAGGAACTCCATGGAACAGCAGCAGCCCACAAAGCCTCGAAGGAGCACTGTCCAGTCTTCTCCAAAATGGATGTTTTGATGGTTCTATCTATATCTAGTTTTGTGGTGGAAACAATGGAGAAAGCAAATGCCTACTCGGTGAAAACCTACTGCTCCTATGTTTCCTACTCAAAACTTACCTGTAAGTCGATGCTCTCTTCCCTCAGTACTCTACTTCTCTCTCTGGGATCCTGTGTGCAGAATGGCATGGATAAATAAAGAGAAACAAAAAGGAAAAGAAAAGCAAAAATCATCACAAAAGGTTACAAATGAAATGTGTTGAAGGCAGCATTTGTGAGCTGCGACAAGGGCTGTTATCTTGGTGTGTAGATTGGATAAGAACTGCTACAGACTCTAGTGTTCAGCTTACAATTTTCAACTAAACATTTTAATATGTTTTTTTGTATTTTTCTATTCATCCATAGGCATGGTGACTGTAATAATTTTGTTTGGTACTGCGCTGCGGTCTTATGTACCATGTGTGTCATCCTGAATTAGACCAGGAAATAGGTTGAGAGTTGGCTACCAAGTGAGTTTTTTCTTTTTCACTTTACCACTTGAAGCAGATACTGCAACAGTGTTGGCTGCGTGTCAGACAATATAGCAATGTAAATAGCTTTATGCTGAATGATGTGGCAGAGTTCATTGTGGTCCTTTCCTGTATTGTATGTAGTTCAGTACTTGAGGAAGGGCCAATTTGGTAATGCTCTAGCTCCTCTTATCTCAATATATAAGGCTCCAGCGTTGGCTCTCTTGTGGAGCTAAAGCTGTTTTGAGAAACGTCTTGAATGGCAGTTTTATTATAATTTGTGCCAAGTTTGTGACAAACTGGGAGAAGCCACGTTTCCGTGGCTTTGCCGTCCAAAATGGCTCCGCCTCCTCTGGGCTTCTTAACAAGATCAGCATTTCTTGTACACGTAGCATTTCGGTCATTTTGGCGGAAATTCATCAGTGTTCTCTCCCAAAATTTTCTGGTTGAAGAAATTTGGGATTCTGTCATGATCAGGCACCTGCACTGTACCATCGGTTTTGCAACGCCTCTGCTTTGAGTAGAGTAGTGACTAGTGGTCTATTGCATGATCTACAGGATTTGCGCAGCTGAAACTTTCCCTGCCAAATTCGGGGCTGGAATCCCAGTATGACGTCTCGATGTTTCAAGCGCTTTTTCTATAAAAATAAACTGGTTCCTTTAAAATTAATGTATGATCCCTGTGAAAATTCTTGTGTCCCACTTTCCTGTTGCTTATATCTTTGCTATAAAAAAGTAAACTGATTACTATAAAATTTCCGCACTCCATATTTGATGCCGAAAAAACTCAGAAAATAGGAAAGAAATCTCAGCATTTGGGCGGCCCGAAGAAGGCTTTTGGCGCAAACGAGATATCCTCGGCTAACCTACTCGCGGACTTGCGGTGGACCGAATCTCTGGCTTCGTTCATGAACCTGAACCATGTCCCTTGTCAGTTGTCGCTTTGTCAGGCAGGCAGCCTGTATCAAGAACGAAAACACATCAAGCACGAGACATCCGGAGTCAAACCTGAGCAATGAATCCAACTACGCATGCATCGACACGGAGTATCTGCCTCCAGGTTCTGTTGATTCCCCGTGCACATGGAGTCGACGCTACTGCCACTCTGTCCCACAGGGAACATAGCACGCTTAATCATTCTCTATAGGTCGGTCGAAAGTAGGTCGAAAGACTGGACGTCCTAGGGTACTATCAGTGTAGAAACCACCATAATTTCTATTTACATTTATTATAATACCACTTAAGTGTTTTGCTGATATTATAAGGTAGTTATCGAAGAGAAAGCAAAAATCATAAAAATTAGGTCTAAGATTGTGTTTAGATCACTAATCCAAGGACTAAAGTTTAGCTACTAAAATTTAGTCCTGCTTAGTCCTCTAATCTACAATGACTGATTTACCCATATTTAATTATTTATGCACAACCATGCATGCGAGCGGCAAGAGGTATGGGACGTCCAGCGCCCGCCCCGAGGGAGTTTAGCCCAGTTTAAGACCTCTTTGGCCCTGTTCGTTTCTCTTATAATCCGTACTTTTTAGCTTGTTTTTTTTTCAGCTGGAACAGTGTTTTTCTCTCACAACAAATCAGCCGGAACAGTGTTCGTCTTGTTTTTTCAGCGAAGCGAACAGGGCCTTTGGGAGCAAAAGATTTTATCCTAGGTTTTAGCCATTTGCTCACTTTTAGCATCTCTGTTTGATCCCCATGACCAAAAAAAGGGCTAAAAGTGCAGGGCTAAAGTTTTGCCGTGGGATCTAAACAGGGCCTAAGTTAGAAACTATGTCTACACGAGAACCAAGACATAAGGATGTGATTGATAGAGAATGGAGAGATAATGTATGTGATTGGATAAAAAATTATTCTGTAGAAACTATACATTGCGACCACAGTTTCTATATATAATGTCTATAAAAATTAATAGGTATAGAAACTACACGTAATTTTTAGCATCGGTACTGCCATAAGATCTATGTATATCTATGTCTTATAGAGGTAAACCATATTAGCTCTATTTGAATATATGTAAACAATTCACATCATCTCCTATTAAATGGTATATGTCAACTCTACTGACTTTCAATCTCTTAAAGTAAGCTATTCACATCATCTCCATTAAGTACAATTATTATTTTCAGTAGTGTATAAGAAACATATGAGTTATTCATATATTACTATTTATTTTGTTGTTCCATCATCTTATAATTTTATCTAATTCTATTAGCCTTTTTATTGGATTCATTCATTATCTTGCCTAATTTTGATAAGAACTTATGGAGGAACATGTAGGTCTAACTCATTATGCAACAGTTTTAGTTATAAGAAAGTTGTGTAGTAACGCATGAGGTATCTTTCTAGTTCTAACCAAAATGTAAGTCTGTTAGGACATTCACTTGGTATTTGATACTTTTTCCCAAACACACTAGAAATCTACATGTCGGTATTTCGAGTAAACACCAACTAGTAAATTTATATTTGTTGTGCGTTAGGTCTGGATGGTGTGCTAAAGGACACAAGGTTTATACTGGTTCGGGCAGAATGTCCCTACGTCCAGTCTGCTGCTGCTCGTGTTATTAGCACTGAAAAAGGTTCGTATTATGGGGTACAAACGGTCGAGAGAGGGACATGTCCCAAGTCTCTGATGGAAAGGTCAAAAAGGCGCTGAGAGCTCGGTTGCTGCTCAGCTGTGTGTTATATGGTGCGTGGTGCGTATGATTGATCCGTCCCCTTAGTGGGGTGCAATGCCTTCCCTTTTATAGATCAAGGGGGCAGGGGTTACAGATGGGAGAAAGAAGAAAAACCAGAGGCCAAGAAGGTCATTCGAAGGTGTCGGGTCCTCCTTTTTCTCTGAGCCAGCCCCGCTGATATGGCAGGCAGCGTCAGGGATATCACGTTCGCTGATCTTGATAGGACCGTGTTCTGGCTTCGTTCAGCCAGCGGTCACGTCCCATCCCGCCCCGACGGGCGGTGCGACGCACCAGGGTGTCGAGCTGCGACCCTACGGGTAGCAGACGGGGAAGTAACCATACGTCCGTACTGTAGATGATGTTTGTCCCCTCCTGGATCATAGTGGTTGTCGTTTGCTTTTGTCAGGATCCGCGTTCGAGGGTTGATGGCGGCGCCCACAACACTGTAAGACAAAAGTCGGCGCCTACAACACTGTTCGGGTTCTGTCATGCCTGGAAGGGCTTAAAGCGCCTGTCCCGTCATATCCTAACGGTACCTTCCCACAGGCGTGCAGAGTATGGTCCTCGGTATTGCGGTTGACTTGAGTGTCCTGTCTTACCCTGTGCTCGTCATTATGAAGGAGCAGGGTGCAGACGTTGGGTGAGGCGGAGTCAGCCCCGGGACGTTGGGCAAGGCGGAGCCTGCTCTCGGACGCCGGGCAAGGCAGAGCCAGCCGGCTGTCGGGCGAGGCAGAGCTTGCCCTCGGACGTCGGGCGAGGCGGGACCCAGCCCCTAGACATCGGGCGAGGCGGAGCCTAGCCCCTGGACGTCGGGCGAGACGGAGCCTGCCCGCAGACGTCGGTCGAGGCGGAGTCTAGCCATCGGGGGTCGGGCTAGGCGGAACCAATCTTCAGTTGTTCGGGCAAGAAGTGTAGTTGCGTTCTTGTCTGATCGGAAGCGTCAACGTTTGATGGTTATTAGCTCCTCCTCTTTGAGTACCCCGATATTCGGTCCCGACACTACACTTGATTGCACTAAGAATAAGAGAGAAGAGCCAAATACAATGAACTCTCTTTTTTTAAGTAATAATAAGTACAATGAACTTGGAACTGGTCCCTTTGCAGTTTGTCCCTCTACAGATCAGGCCCACCTGCCTGCGACTCAAATGCAAAGGAGGCTCATCCAATAAACTTACATGACCTTACAACCAAAAAATAACCTTCATGACCAAAGTAACAACTAGACAATAAACTCAATCAGTGCTGAGAAACAACACCTAGAAGGAAACAAGCAACTCTGACCAACCACAAAGGTTTAGATCCCATTAGAGCATTGTTCGATAAACTGATTAAACTCAATCAGTAGAAAATAAACTAATTTTCTATCACAATCTGTCACACCCAATTTTAAGAATAAAATTGAATGCACTAACTCATGTGTGCCCAGGGATCAATCACACACACAAGCTGACAAATTATAAAGGAGTATCATCACAGTGTATCTTACATCACGATAATAACATAACTTAGTCTTATACATCACATCGAAAAATGAAAGATAACTCTCTCTCGTGGAATACCATCACAGGGAAGGTCAACTGGTTGACCACAAGCCTAATAATCCTCAGGAAACTCCTCATACACGTTGTCATCTGTTACCCATCCGGGATTTTTATCCAAATAAAGAAAATAAACAAGCGTACGTACTTCCCGTACTTAACAAGATAACATGGGGATTCATGAGGCTCAAAAAGGTTAACACTGGTTTACTGCAGTTAGCACTTTTAGTAAGTCAAGATTTTATTATCAAGTATTATCAAGTTATGCTTAAGCTCCCATTTAAACCCCCTT